TACCTAAAAGAGCAGTAAGATTTGTACGCTGTAATGTTGGGTCCATGAATAAATGTGTGCATGCAAACATTGCCTATGAGTAATAAATGGTTTGCACAAACGTGCAGGCACATTCGTATGAATATGCTGTACAGACACCCTTCAATTTGCAACTATTTGTTATTCATCCAAGTGTTTTAGGAAGTAAACTTCAAGTCCAGTGATCTTTTTGACTTAACATTCTTTTTCAAAAATCCTTATAAACAATTCACTTTAGTAATAAAAATTCTTCTAGTTTCTTAGTTTTACTGAGACATCATTAATTCATCAAATAAAAAAAAATCAAAGTCTATACATGACAGGAATTATTCTAATGGCTTTCTAAAAATGACAGTCATAGTAACAAATTAACCAACAAAGTGACAACCTCTTTCCTCAAGGGGCTTATTGTGTCATAGTAGGAAGACAAACCTGCAAGCAATTACTCTATAATTACAGTCAAACAAAATAACCACTATAATGGAGCAGGTATGACACAGAGACGCAGCAACTGCGTGGGCTTAGGGGAGTCTGGGATAACCTCGCAGAGGAGGGAGAGTTTAAGGAGAGGCTGACAGATTAAGGAGGGTCACAAGCAGGGAATGATGAGAAGAAGATTATTCCAGAAAAGGAAAACAGCACGGGCTTAGCACGGGGGAACTAGAAACCAGCAAGTGTTCAGAGTGTAAGTTAGTTCAGTATTAGTACGTGAAAAGAAGATGATGCAAGAAAAGGAAATGTGAAAAATAAAATTGTAAAAGAACAAAGCTGATCATGAGAACCTGGTATACCATGAAAAGAGCTATGGATTTTGTTCTGCAGAATGTCAGTGTATTTTGATGTCAAAGGGATTTACGTCTTGTGCTTTTAATTAATATTCAGTTCATTAAAGTTGATAATGCAAAGGCCTAACTTATTTTAAGTCCTTTACATAACATAACTTGCCATCTTATTTATACCTCAGTAAGTTTTATTTGAGTAAGAATAATTATTTTCAGGGGGATCTTTGACTGATGATTGAACAACTCAGACTAAGTTTTTTCAAATCAATAGTTGTGTTTATAAATTTAGTTAATTAAACTTCCTTACGTGTTTCACATTGCATGTATAAATTTATATACTGAATTTTATTTTTAAGCATTTCAAATACCTGACTACAAATTTAGTAACTCCACTAAGCAAAACCCTCCCAAGGCTTAAATGACTCCTGTAAATCTATTAAACCACATAGAGTTCTGTTAAATATTCCAATTGCATTTGCTTTATACTTTGCATTTTGCATTATACTTTTTAAGAAGCATATTTATTTTGAAAAATGTTAAGCATATAAAAAGCAGGGAGAGTAGTATAATAAGCTCTCTTGTCCCTTTCACCAACTTCACCAATTATAAACTCATAATCAATCTTGTTTCATCTATACCAACCTCACATCCCTCTTCTATATGTAGTATATTGACTATATGTAGTAACATAAAATACAAAGTCAGTGTTCAAATTTCCAATTGTCCCTTAAATTGAGTGTATGGTGTCTTGTTTTATTTTGTTTTTTGGTGAGGAAGATTGGCCCTGAGCTAACATCTGTTGCCAATCTTCCTCTTTTTGCTCTATTTTGTATGTGGGATAACGCCACAGTATGGCTTGATGAGTGGTGTGTAGGTCTGCGCCCAGGATCCGAACCCACAAACACTGGGCTGCAGAAGCAGAGTACTTGAACCTAAGCACTACATCACCAGCCAGCCCCAGAGTGTGTGGGGTTTTTTCAAGTTTGAATAAGAATCCAAGCAAAGTCTACCCATCTTTATTGGCTCATATATTTTGTAATTCTCTTTCGAGAAAGTTCACCCTCTATCACTTCTTTTTCTATTGATTGCAATGTATTTGTAGTGGAAATCAAGTCATTAGTGGGCATTGTAGTTGTTCTCAGTCTAGATTTTGCTGGCTGCTTCCTATAGCGTAGCTTACGTGTTGCTCTCTTTTCTGTATTTCCTATAAATTGGTAGTTGGATGTACAGGTCGCTTGATCAAATTTAGTTCTTTTTTTTTTGGCAAGATCCCATCCTAGGTGATGACGTATTCTTTTATGGGGAGCCCGTAATGTCTGGTTGACTCTCCTTTTTTGATGTGAGCAACTGTTGACATTCAGCACTTAAGGTCCATACTTTTCGACGACAATAAAAATTCTAAATCAGAAATTTTAAGTTGATTTGACATACCTAACTGAATATTCTCTAATGTAACAAATCCCTTAAATATTATAAGTACTTAAAATGTTGAGCATATGTATATTGTCCCAATAATTATAAAACTTATTCCATAAACTTTCGTACCATGGGTTTGACTTATTCCATCACTTCTGTGTTTAATTCCGAATCTTTCAAGACCAAAAAGACTTGGGCCAGGCCCAGTGGCCTAGTGGTTAAGTTCAGCATGCTCTGCTTCAGCGGCATGGGTTCGGTTACCGGGTATAAACCTATACTGCTTTGTCAGCGACGGTACTGTGCTGGCAGCCCACATATCAAAACATAGAGGAAGATTGGCACGGATTTTAAAGTCAAGACTACAAAGACTCACTCAGGGAAACAAGTGTTTTATCGTGACCGAGCTAATGAGGTGATTAACTAGGCCTTTACACTTATCCAAATTAAACACTAAGCATATATAAGTTAAATTTTAATTTTTTTTTAAATGTGAGTTTATTAGATTAACAGTTGATGACCCATATGTTTACCAGCTGAGGTGGAGATTGAGACACGTACGTCCATGGCAATTCTTACTGAGCCACAAGCGTACCCCCTGAGCCCTTTTTATGGTCTTAGTGATAACAAGGCACTTCCAACCCGCATTCTTCAAATGGAGTTAGTTTTGCAACCAGCATCTCCCGGCTTCAAGTAACACTCTTTCCTAATTATTTAAGTGGCTTGAGTATTGAACATGAGGGGGATATAAACATATTTTTGCATTAGGAAGATCATTCTGGCAGCAGTGTGTGAAGGGAGGGGAAGATGAAGAGCAATTTTGATCACTGGACAACTGACAAGATGGCTACTGCAAGAGTCCACGCCAGAGATGATATAGTCTTATTCTCATGTCTAGCAGGAGAGAGGGGAGAAATGAAAGGGGGATGTGAATTATAGGAGAAATTAAAAATGTAGAGCTGACAGAACTTGATTAATTTGATGTCGGACTGAAAAGGAGTGAGAAATAAAGGATGACTTGAGGCTTGGGTGGATATGTGAATTGTGGTACCACCCCAAGATGAGAAACCTAGGAAAAACAGGTTTGCATTGGAATGGAAGAGGGAATTCTCAACTTCTGAGATGTTAATATAGAACCTGCAGTGGGATATCCAAGTAAAGATGTGTGTATATATATATGAGAGGTCTGGGCTAGAGATTTCAATATGGAAGTCACCAACATTAAGATAATATGTGAAGTTTGGGGTATATGAGACTATTCAGGGATAGATGTAGAGTGAAACAAATGAGGAAAGCAAAGATCAGAACACAAAGAAACATCATCACTTAAGGGGGAATTCAGAGGAAAAAACCCACAAAGGAAATTGTGCGATAGCGGCCAAAGAGACAAGAAGTGAGCCAGGAGAGATTTCTCACGGAAACAAAGGAGACTCAAAGAAGGCAAAATGGCCAATACAGTACTGTTAAGGGCCACAAAGCAATCACGAAAGATGCAGGCTGAGAAGTGTCCAGTGGATTTGGTAATTAAGTCTCTTAAGAGTAGTTTCATTGAAGGATTGGCGATAGAAGCCAGAGTGTGGTCAATGAAGAAACAAGTGGGAGGGGAGGAAGTCAAGTCATGAGTGTAGACGGCTTTCCTACTTTGGCTGGGAAAAGGAAGATTATCTTGTGGTAAGGTAGAAGTTAGAAAGGTAAAGAGAAGTATTTGTTCTTTATGAATGAGAGTAACTCAGGCTGAGGGAGGAAACAAAGAGTGAGATATTTAGGGATGGGAGTGAAAGAAGAGGAATAATAATAATATAAGTAATATGATGACACAGAAGAAATAAGATCAAAGGGGTAAAGTCGTTGCTAATTCAGATAGGATTCAGAACACAGGTGGAAAGAAAAACTTTGGTAGGGAGAAGGTAAGCATGGGTATAACAGTAGATAAGTTTGTGGATTAAAGAAATGTATTTTCTTAAGAGAGTTCACACCCAATAACTGCTATTTTATCAGTGAAGCAAGACACAAGATCATTTAATTACAGGGGAGGGGGGGAATAGGAGATGTGAGGAAAGTAGTGAATGTTTTGAATAGCCTTTGAGAAGGATGATACAAGAAAGAGTTGACTAGAATAAAGTGTAATGAGATATAGAAGTGTCGAGGGTACAGTTGAAATTGAATGCCAATTATTTGTAATGTCCAGAAGCAGTCAAATGGCAATTTTCTCCAACTATGCTAATCAACCTGAAGGTAGAAATAGAAAATATAGATGGTTCTGTAAATCATTAGGGATTTGTGAGGCCCACGTATTGATAACCGTTAACAGCAGTTGGAGTGAAGTGGTTTGGGATGAAACATCTTGGAATCCAAGCAACAAGTGATGGAAGTAAAGCCAGGTGGAGAACATCTGGAAAAGAGAAAGAAGTTAAGACTCGGAACTAATTCTCTTTGGTATCTATACCATAAAACCAATCAAATGCCCTCAGAATCCCAGAATTGAATTGTTGACACACTGCTGTTTTACAGAGAATGTATTACTGCCCTGAAGCAATGGATTAATTGTATGCGTCCACTACAATGGACAATGCTGTACTCAAGTTCCCGCTTCTCCATTTTTTGCAGCAGTAGCAGCATAACTAAAAGGCTGAAGTCTATTCCAATGACTTATGAAGTTTTCAATCAGAGCAGATATTAAAGAGAAAAGAATAATTCAAAAAATGGTCCTTTTATTCTTTTTTCTTTTTCATTGTAAGGTGAGCATCTACTTATTTCACTTACATTTTTCTTCTTTCTTGTTTTTAGAAGTCCTATAAATGAAGAAAATCAAGATAGTGTCATGCACTCTGATGGTAAGGGGCAAAAAGATGTTTTATGTATTTATTTGTTACCTCAGATACAGAAGTTTGAGTTAATGATTCTCATAGGGTTGTTAATGGGTCATTATCATCATTGGTCCATGCAAGACCCCTCTCTTGTTTTACTTATGTTTATTCCCTTTTATCTCTATGACCCACTGCCTTTACTCTCTTCCCCTTACTAGAGACAAATATTCTCATGCATTTAATGTGTATGTGTCTGTTTGTATATATTCTTTGCATACTATTGTCTGTGTGTATATATTTCAATTTACCTAAATAATATATTATAGCTCACTCTAGTCTTTTTTTTTTTATACTTAGCATACTGTTTTGGGGGCCCATCCATGTTGCTATATGTATAATTTATTGCTGTTAAGTACTCCATGGTATGCATCCTGTGCATTCACATTTTACCTCCAACTCACTGATACAACAAATAATAATTCAATGCACCTTCTTGTCCACATCCGCATGTGGACCTCTGAGAAACTTTCTTTAAGATGTATGTCCACCAGTGGAGTGGCTGCTCATAAACTATGGAATATTCATTTTGACCTAGTAGAGTGCTCTCCAAAAGAGAGCACTGGGAGTCTGTGTAGACTCCCACCTGCAGGGCAGGAAGATTCCAAGACGCCCACCTTTCCTCAGTGCATGGTGTTATGCAGCTTTCCCATTGTTTCCCATCTTACATGTCTAAAATATCTCATTTCATTTTCATAGCTCTGCTTACTATCGAGTTTGAGTATTTCGTTTGTTTATTAGCCTTTGTGGTTTCCTCTTTTGTAAGTTGCCCGTTTGTATCCTTTGACCATTTTTTTCTTGGAGTTAGTATCCTTTTTGGGTTGACTTGCAGGAGTTCCCTTGTATTACAGATATTAATCCCATGTCAGTTGTAGACATTGCAAATATCTTCTCTCATTCTGTCCATGGTTGATTAACTTAGCCCGTGCTGTTCTTCACTGAACAGAAATAAATTTTGATATAATCAAATTCATTAATTTTTACTTTATAGTTTATGCTTTTTAAGTTTTATTTAAGAAGTCCTATCCCTAGGAAATAAAAATATCATCTTCTATGACATTTATCCCTTGTATTTAGGTCTTTGATCTCCTTGCAGGCCACATTTGAGGACTTAGTAGAAATCCAGATTTGTTGCCTCATGTATGGAGCCAGTGTTCCCATTCCCATACTCTGAAATCCACCATTTTCTCGTTAATTTATAATGCAATCTTTGTACTATATCAACTCTATAGATGTGCATATGTCTGTGCATATATATGTGTGTGTTCATGTGTGCATTACGTGTGTGTATATGTGTGGGCCTGTAAATTTATGTACCAGTCTCTGAGCTCTCTGCTCTATTCCACTGGTCTATTTGTTCCTATACCAACACCACATGTTTTTATTATTTTTGTTTTAGATTATGTCTTAATATCTAGTAATTTGTTGATATTGCTAAACACTTGAGCAGTAAAATACGTTTTTGAAAAATCTAATTAATTTGGTTTTTCTATACGCAAAAGTAAATCCTTAGGAATAAATAAATCAAAAACTGCAAACTAGCTGTGATTTTCTGATAATACGTTTGTTGCACACAAACCCACAAAACCAAATGTACGTGCTTTTTATAAAGAAAACAAAAGATATTTCATAATTTAGGGGCATTTGCATTATTTTGTGAAAGCCAATGAAATGATTTTATAATTAAATTACAAGGATCAAAAAAGCCATAGTAGGGATCTAAACCACATATTCTATTTTGTGCTTCTATATCTTTGATAAAGTATAAGTTCTGTTAGAGTGTGAACTGTTTTCAATATTATGTTACAGCTAATAATCTTGTATTAAAGGATTTCTTAATTACAGTATATTAAATTTTATTCTCTTTTTAAACTTTTTAGGTACTGGAAATCTAGATGAGGTCAGTTTTTTTTCCTTATATTGCTGTAACTAGAATATTTAACGATTATTGTGATTTTTTTTCTTAGTATAAACCAACAAATGAAAATTCTTATAAGTAATATGATATTTTTCCATTTATAATCTTATTTCATCAAAAATACTTGAGACATTAGATACTAATAATTACACTGACTCATAGTAATTGTGCAGCACTAAACATACACTTTAGTCTGGCTATCCATCTGGATTATAGAGCAGGATATAAAATGAAATCTTTTTTGTGCTTACTTTCCCAGCATATCTCTAAAGAGGAAAAAAATATTTTAAGTAAATCAAATTTACATACACTTAAATTTATGCTTATTTTACTAAGTATTTGATCAATGTAATACGTGTAGGTTCCCTTTTTGAATAATTAAAATTAATCATTACTAATGTTTTTCTTGCCAGGAACAAGACAGTGAAGGAGAAACATATGAAGACATGTATGAGTTACATTTTTTACCATGATATTTTCCTTCTAAGATGAATATAATGGTTGTATGAGGGAGAGTGGATGGATATTCAACACTAGGGGGAAAAGCTTTATTGTTCAAGTGACTGGTATATATATAATGATAACCTTTATTTCAATACAAAGGACTAAAGATTCTTTACTTGTCCAAAGATTTTACAGAGGACAGAGGACTCTGTTGAAATGTTGTTGTATAAGAGGCTAGAGACTTTACAGCCTGCTAGACAGACCACAGAAGGGAATCATGGAACCAGGAATCTGAATTTATTGTTCTCAGTGTGTCCTTGGGCAAATGAATTCATTTATAGGTCACAACTTCCTCACCTGGGCACTGTTTCACCTCCCAAGGGTGCTGTGAGAAATACGTTAGCACAGTATCAGATGCCAAAGTTTCAGCCTGCTAAAGTGGAAAGATATTAAACATCGCTCCAAAACGGGTTGCTGGGTAGCCTAGGACTAAGACATTTCTTGGAAAGTGAGTGAAAGTAGAAATGAATATCTTATTTTATCTTTTATTGATTCAAATATCTTAATTTTGTCTATCCAGTTTTTATTCAACCAATTCTGACTAAGGTTTGAATGTATACACATGTGTGTGCTCACGTGTACCTGTAAGTGCATGCACGTAAAAGAGAGAGAGAGATTAATTCTATTCATGTGGACGTGTAGCAAGAACAGGGCCTTTATAAACAGTGCCTTCCACTGGCTGGCACAAGTTGCAAGGGGAAGCAGAGTCTTTGGAAGGCATCCTCACTGGTGTGCCTCCTACTGGATTTAAGAGCAATCTCACACACCCAGGAATTTTGACAACCCTTTGCTTTTCACCTTCATCCGTCCTTCAGATACTATCTTCTGCTGTGGGTAAAAACCTCTCTGGATAGTGAGTCCTAACCCCTCAATGCCTGCAGATGCTGAAACAACCTAACAATTTTTATCTGCAGAGAAGCATCCAAAGAAAGAGAGAAGAAAAGGGAAAAGGAGGAAAAGAAGAGATTAGAGCTGGAGAAAAAGGAACAGAAAGAGAGAGAAAAGAAAGAACAAGAAGTAAAGAAGAAATTCAAAGTAAGAGCTTGCTTGCTGATGAGTGAAAAAGTGTAGCCTCTTTTAATAACTTTCACCCAAAAGGGGCACCATTCTTGAAAGCTTACATGGCTGGAGAATTACTTAATTGCTGTTTTCTAAAGACTAACCACCTTCATAACAGTAATTTTTTTTATTCAATACGCTCCTTTATCCCTGCACAAAAATGTAATATGATAAAATCCAAATAAACTATGGTGGTTTATAATTAGTGGGCACCCAGGAAACTTTATGTTGATTCAGTGAATGAGTACTCGGTTACTCACACTCATCTTGGCTCTCCTCGCTACGCATTTCATATTAAACAATACTGTGAGCTTAGGACCACACACAGACATCCCTGTGGCACGTATTATAGTGGTGCAAAATACACAGGTGTCTCCATATGAACCAGACTTGTCTCAGAATAAAGTTTCTATGAGCTACTCTGACTACTGGCATTGAGACCCGACTTCCATATTGGCCTTTATTTTAAGCCTATGTACATGCTGACTTCTGATACCTGCTGCTTCTCATCCCTCCTCATCTGCCTAGGTTTCTGACCTCTGTCTTCTCTAATCTCTGATTTCTAATGGTGCGACTTCTATTACTACACTCACTATCACTGCACAGCAGGCTAAACTCTCCTGGCTACACCATCTTTGATGACATGGCCCATGGGGCATGTCAGCTATATTTAGAGTGTAATTCAGATTAAGTGAGTTACAGAGCTAGTCTTCACTTTAAAAAGGATTCATATCAGGTTTCCTTTAAATATTTAATTCTTCTGGAACATTTAATATGTGGTTTGAATTATAAAAATTAGATTTATATATAACTTCCCAGAATATGTATTATATTAAAACAAAGATTCTACAGTACAGCGCAGGGAAAATGTAAAGCTTAGAGTCAAATAGACAGATGTGGATTCAAATTCTAGCCACACATGCAGGTTATGTGATCATAGGCATGTTACTAAACTTCTCTGAAGTTCAGATTCTTATTCTTTAAAGTGAGGATAAAGATACCTCTCCTGAAATTTTGTTGTGGAATTAAATAAAATAATACACATAAGGCACGTATCTTTCATAGGTTCTCATTAAATTGTGAAAAAGCTTACTATATTACAGTATGAATAGTAAAACATTTTACTCATACAGAATGTATGGCTACCAACATTTTTTTCATGTGGAAAATATGAAAATTTAATTTCATAAATGAAAGTCTTCTTAACACACTTTTTATGAAGACATTGTTTATAGTATTGAAGAAATTATGTGGTTTTTCCTTTTGTTTCTTTTGGAGAAATCAATTTGACATTGTTTCACTCATTCGTTCAAATAATAATAGGAAAAAGATAGGGTATGGAAATCATACCACTAAATATGAACTCAAAGGTTTGTGAAGACTAGGACTTCACAAGCTATGTTCCTTTCACAAAATGTTAATAGATGTTAAAATTAGATAAGTAAATGTGATAACTGTTACATTTCATTAATTCTAAGATAGAAAATATTTCAGTTTAAAATTCTGAACTTAGGATGCATCTTTACATTATTAACATAGTTTAAATTAAGCTGTTTTCTTTCTTAGTGGTACATAATTAATGAAATGTCTCACAATTCATAACATCATAAGTTCAATAAAATGAGACGGAGCTTCTTCAAAAATCACAATGCAGAATTTGCATATCAAAAGATCCAAAACTTCTGTTGAAAAGATGTCACTTTAGGATTAGGAAACGAGGAGTTTGGAATTCATGGTCTAAACTAGATTATTCTCCTGCTGGCAAGAAACCACTGTATACTCAAGATATTAATTTTTAAAACCTCACATAACATTTGTTTCCTATGTTTTTGTTCACAAAGCTATTTCTAAAATGTTACCTTACTTATAGCAGGTAATGTCTACTCCAAATTTATAGGTAGACAATACCACAACATTAAAAAAAAAAAAAGGAAAAGGAAAAAAAATGCTTTTCCCACAAGTACAGCCCACCACCACCTACTTTCCTTTTGCTGTTTTAGGCCTGCAGAGAATCATCAGAATAATGACACAATGCAAAGAGGGAGAAAGCCTCTGTTTACCAAGCAGACCACCCGCATATCCCCTAAAAGCACATAGCACCCGCGTGGATTGTCATACATAAGTGGTATTTTGTTCTTAGAGCTTCCTTTGCAAGCCTTTCACAGAGTTCCTAAGGTCAACAGATCATTGCCACTCTCCTGGACCCCAAGCACATGCTTACCTGTTCTTTACTGACCCCTGTGACTTTTCCCCTCCTATAAGAACATTCACCAGAAGGACACTCGCCCTCAATTTCTAGTTCAAACCTGTAAAAGTTGGAAACAGGTAGGTTGGCAAGTTGTGGACATATTGTCTTTCAAAACTGCATTCCTTAAAGAGTTTCTGAATAGTAAGGAAGCCTGTTGTCATTCGTTTTTTCCTCTTTGCAGCTAACAGGCCCTATTCAAGTCATCCATTTAGCCAAAGCTTGCTGCGATGTCAAAGGAGGAAAGAATGAGCTGAGCTTCAAGCAAGGAGAGCAAATTGAAATAATCCGCATCACAGACAACCCTGAAGGAAAATGGCTGGGCAGAACAACAAGGGGGTCATGTGAGTGCAAATTTCCTATGACTTCAAAGTGTGGTCTTTTTGAACCAATATTAAATGTGCAAATTCTTCCAGAATATTCATAAGCATTAAGTTAGGAGTATTCTACAAGATGGACAAAGAGAAGAAGATTTAGAATAACAGGTACAGCTCCCTCTTCACCTCATCTGTGTTATCTTTTTAGTGGGAGCAGTGTAAATATTTCTATTATTCCAGGGAAGAACAAAAGGCGTTAAGTTCTTCATTGATGTTAAAAGGAAAAAATGATTCCTGTGAATGACCTTGGAATCTTTAAAATAGACTCTAGGCTTACCCGAGACCACAACAGCATAAGACTTTGACAAAGTACAATAAAACGTGTCTGCATGGGAAGTCTATAAATCAGAATTGCAAGCAAAGAAATGAAGGGAGAGTTTAAAGAGCAAATGTGCAATTGACATTTTATTCACAACTTTAAAATATTTAAACTACAGTTACCTGAACATAGATCATTTTCTCTTTTGGTAGATGGCTATATTAAGACAACCGCTGTAGAGATTGACTATGATTCCTTGAAACGGAAAAAAACCTCTCTTGGTGCTCTGTCAAGACCTCTTGAAGAGGACCAAGAAGTGTATGACGACGTTGCAGAGCAGGATGACGTCAGCAGGTACGTCCAAACACAAAATGCAAAACAGATCACGCTGTCTCCTTGTCAGAGATTCTGTATTTTAAGATCCTAGAATTTTACCTTCCAGATTTCCTAGTGCTGTCTATCACTAAACTAAATTGCCAATATGAGTGAAAGGTCATTTGAAACTCCATAGTCTTTTATTTTGCTCTTTAGTTATATACGTCAAATACTACTTGACATATAACGGGCCATTTGCCAAATCTCGTCAAATGTGTTGTCATCCCAAAACGCTGTTTTATGATATTCATTCTGATTTGATCTTAGGGATATGCCTAAAGTAAATATGATCTTGTAAAATAGGAAGCATGAAATATAAAATTTAGCTCTAAAAAATATATAAATATTTTGCTCTGAAATCTCTAAGTCCAAATATATCTAAGTCCAAATATATGAAACTATAACAGAGAAAAAGAATACTTTTTACTACAATTCTACTTGGTTCTTTAAAAGCAAAAAAGTGAAAGCTCAATTCTCTTGAGAATCAACCAAGGGTCCAACTCTCCATGGCTTGTGCATTCCACTAGATTAGAGTAACCTCCCCGAAAGAATTATGGGAAGACCTTACTGGGGCAGAGGAACAGAACAAGACGTCCTTTCTGGAGGAGCCAGGAGAAGAGAGTGGTCATCTTCTCCATGTACCTCTTCTTGCCTTCTTTCCCTCTTCTGTCTTCAGCTTCCTTTCTCCATGCCTCCTTTTCTGTCTCTCTTTCCTAGCTCTGATCTTCCTTGTCCTTTCTTCTTCTTCTTGCTTTTCCATTCCCTTTCTCCTTTCATTTCTTCTTTTCTCCAATATCTCCCTTTCCTGATAAAGTCATAATCCCTTCAAGTTGAAGGAAAGGGAGGAGGAAAATCTCCAACCCAGTTAAGAATCCTTGTTTTTCTATGCCCACTTTGTGGAACTGGGAAACCTCTACTATAATCCCAAAACACAAGATTTGTGTTAGATCCTCACTTGGGTAAAAATGTGTCTGCATTCTTGATAACTCAAATTACAAAGAAAAAAATGTTTTAATTATCAGCCATTTAAAAAATGTAAAATTATCAAAATAGCAATTTACTTTGTAAGACATATGAAGAGTTAAGTTTCCTCTTGCGGTCTTTTACCTCGTGTCGTCAATAAAACTTGTGTTGCTTTCTTGGCAGTTTTGTCTTTCTAAAATGAATTATAGCCTACAATGCCTTCTTACCAAGTTATGGCCATAAATTATGCAACATATGTCAAAACATGCAATGTATGCGCTGGAGTTTACGGATCATAAATTGGCTTTAATAATCAGAAACACATTGACTTAGTGTGGAGTCACTAAATGTCATTTTTGAGGTCAGTTGAAGCTCTAAATGGCCATATTCTGAGATTTACAGAATTTTCTGGACATAAGAATGTCATTCCACATATATTATCAACGTATATACTTTATGTTTATCTTTTATTTATTTCTTAAAAAATGTATTTCTCTTATTTTGGTGTTAAAGAACGCAGTTATATTAAAAAATACATATTTACACTGATGCACATACTCAAGAAAAAAATAATAAATCCACAAAAAAGGGATGATGTTCTTAAAATGAAACGTTATTTAACTATAGTAAGTGTCTATTTCCCAAAACTAATACTATTACCTTTTCCATTTTATCAAGTCCATATACACCACAACTCTAAAAGACATGCTCTGGTTAGTAAACACGTGGCAGAAAAAGAATCTTCTATTTAATAAAATGGGGTTGGAGGAGGTGTATGGTTTTAATGCTCCATATCTTAACCAAGTACCATGCCACAATATTTACCAGCATCTATTTCTCCCTTATGCATATTTAATAAGAAAATGAAAGAAGAGACACAATTTCTACACACGTTTTGTTTTTGAAACTACAGCTGCTGCTGGCGGAGGTCTCCTAACAGAACATGCTTTGTCCGTAGAAGACAAGGAAAGATGCTGACTATAGCCGGCAGCTTGCCCTGGCAAGAATAAGAGAAGGCACCATCCTCTTCTTCTCCCTCCCCCAGATGCCTCCTGGTTCCTTGCTCTCTTTACCTGCTCTTTGCAGATTTCTCCAGCGTAAGGAGAGCTGACTGTGCCCTTCAAACCCTGGGAGCAGACAGGAGGCTTAAAAGCACAGGTCCTGACAGCTGTCCTCCTTTTCTGCTCAAGTAAAGCAATTTCTGTAATAAACATGAAAGTTGAAGGAAAGAAAAATGCAAATGTAAATACCACTCCTCCATCACATACCAAACTTTCTTCCACATGTTTCCCAACCTTTTTCCTTCCGTTTATCCATTCCTCTTTCTCTTCCCTTCTCCCCTTTTCTCACACTCTGCTCGTCTTGCAACTACTTCATTTGTTAAATGTTTTGTGTTCTAAACAGACCATTTTAGAAAGTTGAAGAATTGTTCTAGGAATGAAATAATGTGTGGCAGCTTGGGTCCTGATTATTATAACCCTGTTCTTTGGGAATTAGGCTTGAGAATCTCCAAGATGAAATATATTTGCCAGGAGTGGCAGCCAACCAAAATGGCAATTTCTCAGCTAATTCTAACTGCTTGCTTCATGCTCAAAGGGAAGTGTCAGAGAAAATAAATGTGAAAATAGTATGTAAGCAAGCGGAGAATATACTTAAACTTCATCAAAAATCAATTCTGTATTTATATACGGAGACATTTCTAGCATATTTTTCTACAAAGTTCCATTAGCAAGAGTATGTTTTTATTTCTAAATTAATCATAGATCTGCATCAGACTAACCTTTTATTCTGACTTTAAGGTTGAGGAATCAGATATGAGCGTATAATTGTACTGTGTGGTTGTAATATCAGACTGATATCTGCTCCTGGCAGATTATCCAAAAGGCAAAAATAGTGATACAGAGAATGCAGCGAAGTGTAGCCAAAACAACGTTATACAGAAGGCGGGACTCTGTGGTTCTTATCTCAGCTCTTCAGCTAACTAAAAGTGGGATTGGCCAAGTCACTTCCAAAAGTCACTTCTCTCTTCAAAAAAAATTTAATGCTATTGGACTAAGAGTAAAATGCTGTGATTATAAGATATTGAAAGAGAATTGAATTTAATGCAACAACATTTCTATATGACTCAGAATAATACTCTTTTTTGTTTTTTAATGTCTGTCTATGAAATGACATAATAATGTATAATCTGAAAACTGCCTCATGGGAAAATGTTAGAAGCAAATAGTATCATTGTTTTGAATACCTTTCATAGTACTGAAATTCCCTTTATTCTTATTAGGTTTGTTTTGTTTTCTTTTGTCCTATTTTTTGCCTTGTTACTACTCATCTATTATGATAAAGAACAATTTTTCTTCCTCTTCACATATAGCGTCCTGATAACTTTTGACTGGAATATTATTTCTCCTTGATATGACTGCTTAATATATACACTTCTCTTCCTGATAGCTAAACAATTCATACATTAATTTAATTTGTCTGGTTTTTTTTTCTAGCCACAGTCACAGTGGAAGTGGAGGTAAGCCACACATTTTTATCAGCAGTTTCTCCAAGTCTTCCTATTTTTGTGTATATTAGTGACAAAGTGCTTTCATTTGCAAATAATGAGGAAGATCTTAATATGGTAGAAAGAACTTTGAACTGGGAACCAATGACCTGGATGGATTCCAGTCCAGGGCCACAAGTGACCCTGAGCAAGTCACTTCTTTCTTCCAAGTTTGTTCTGGGTCATAGGGTGGCTCCGTTTCCAGCGTGCCCAGGGCAGTCTTGACTTACGCCAATTGTCTGAGCACAGTGGTTAACAGCATCCCGCTTCACTTTCAGAAGTATGCTTGTTTGGATGATAACTTATATGGTCACCTTACCTGTGACTTCTAAGGACCTCTCATTTCCTCATCAACAAAACAAAGGAAAATTCTCATCCCGGAAGTCAAATTTCAAGTTCCCTGTACATATTCTTGCATAGAGAAGATGTTCAATAAACATTTGTTAAATAAATATTTATCAAATAGCAAGATTCCTGAGGAGTGTAAGATAACAAATAAATCTAGAAAGGGTTTAACTTTTAAAATATCACTTCGATGGAATTAAATAAAAGAAATGAAAGGTGGCTTTCATTTCATTTTTTTTTTCAGTTACCATCAATGTTTACAAATTCACCTTTCATTCCATTTGCTTTTCTTCACTTATATATTGATCAGTATCTTTTTCTGAATGTCTGCTCACTATTGATTAATTTTTTCTTGACATCTCCTCTCTTCTCTTTTTCCACAATAAATATTTAACTCTACTCTCTATTCAGTTTCACTTTTTCTCATATTTATTCTCCACCATTCTGTTCATCTCCAGCACACAGTACCTTTTATCATATCTCATATCTTTATTATATGTCACATCTAAGAATTCCTTATAGAATAATCAACAATTAATTTACCTACTGTCTATGCGAGAGTGGAAAAATTAAGTTATTTTTTATTTCAATAGTTCATAGGAAAGAGAGGTGCTTTCTGCATTTAATTAAGGCAGATTTATTATCTAATTTTGAGTGACTTTTATGTGACAAAATAAAATTAACAGAAGACTTTTCCCCCCAATCCAAATGAAGGGATGTTCCCACCTCCACCAGATGATGATATTTATGATGGGATCGAAGAGGAAGATGCTGATGATGGGTAAGAATAATCAGTGAATTGCTTTTTTTGCACATTATTGTATATACTGAAATTTGGTTTTGATTTCTATTTACAATAAAAAGAAGAAAATAGTGTTCCTTATTACATTACCAAAAATGATTTGAATGTTTGATTAACAGCAGTAGTAACTCAGAAAGTGTAATTGCACCACACTTCCAATGAAGTGGTATGTGGTTTAGAAGAACCTTGAGAAGAACTATGTCAAAAGAGGTAAAATAGAAAAAAGGGATAAACAATTATAGGTGTTATAGATAATTTTTTTCAAACTTTTCCCAATCAATTATTTGTCAATCAGTAATTTACTTTTACAACCATCACTGGAGACTTTATCAGTTGCTTGGCTCTCCTTTGTATAATAATCATAGTTATAGGCTACCCAAATAAAGTGAGACCATATGCTATCTGTGGCAGAATCAGCATTAAATAATTATTTAGTTGTTTAAACTTTTTAAATGGCATACTTTAAAATTTAAGACCTTTTAATTACTTCCTTTTGATCATAAAATAAAGCTAAATTGATGTTTAAAACTTAATCCTGACTTAGCTTGCTATTTTAAGAACAAAGAGAAATCTCACTAAATAGAAAAAAATAATTTACCTAGTAGAAGCAGTGTTCAAAGACCAAGACCTATAAGCTTAATAGCATAATCTTGCTGAATACAATGAGTAACTTACAGCCTGAGTGATCAACACAGCATAATTATAAAACTATGAATGTCCACCAATGTCTTCACGTTCCACTGATTATTCCATTCTGATCAATGCCTGCATGCTCCTAAGCTCCACGCTACAGGTTGAAGAGAAGAATAACTCGTGGTCCTGGGGGATTTTGAAGATGTTAAAGGGAAAAGATGACAAAAAGAAAAGTATACGAGAGAAACCTCAAGTCTCTGAGTCAGACAATAATGAAGGTTCATCGTAAGAGTCGACCAACCAAATCCAGCGCACAATAACTACATTAATATTAATTTAAGCAAATGCTACTAATATTTTATAACCAATAACCAAATTCTGGTAGGCCTAAACCATTGTAATACTATTTTCCATTAGTCATCATAGCCTCATTTACGTGTCATCCTTAACTCATGCATTTATGTAAGAGGAACACAAAATACTCAAAAATTATCACATAGTTCAAAGATATATTTTTCTTTCCCTACAAACTGCACAAATACACACACACACATATAGACAAGCACGCATACACACCCTCACACACTCAGATACACCCACATGCTCCACTTAGTAGGACTTTTTTTAACCGTAGCATCACATCTAAAGCTCACAATTGCAACACCACATTTTATGATACAATATTTTATACTGACAACTCTTCAAAATATACATTCTCTTTTAAAACTTAATTTGCTAGAAATAAAGGACACAATTTGGAATTTCTTTTCTCTAAACACAGTATTTAAAGTCTTTGTTAACTCTGTTCCACAATAGTGATATACTAATTCTATTTAAATTATATATTTATCCTATGCTAAAATTATTCTAAACATCTTCAGTTTGTCTGAATAAAAACTAAAGAATGACTTTTCTCTTTCCATCCCAAAATAACCCTTTAGTAAAAATTCCATACTTATGAATTTGAAGGCTCTTAATCATGTTTGCCAGTACAGGATATTCTTACTGTTTTATGTGTACCTAAGAAATTCACCATACTTAACTGAAGTCTTTATAAGATGTTAATTCCACATAGAATTCCTAATTTTAAAACTTTTCATAAGATGCTAAAACAACAATAAATAAACAGGACACTTAAAATTAAAAGTAAACATAAAAAATCTTCTGCTGATGCAGCATTAGTCAAATATGGTCCTTACTTAGAAATAAAAGCAGAGATTATTTTTCTGCTCCAATTTCACACCTAATTCTGTTTTGGATCGTTTGAACTAATGACCTCTCACACTTTTGTATAACTGTGCACCATTCTTCCAATTGTGTGTGTGTGTGTGTCTGTTTAAAGTTCAGGAAGTAATAAAAGGAAAGGTCTTTTTCTGTTGTAACTAAATGCCAACCAATTCTGATTTCAGATCACTTCTATTAATAAGCTTTCCGTCTCTAGTTTCAGTGGATATTCCTCTCTTGTTCACCATTCTCCTGTTTTGAGATATATATTTACCCATAGGGGAAACGTGGTCATCCAAAGATTCTGATGACCTTTGTTGATTTCGACGCTGCAGTTCTACTCTTTGAGTGGAAATAAACAATTCTGATCCTGAGCTATGCTACAACGACTCCAAAATATTGAGTCCATTTAATTTACTCTGGTGTGATAATATGCCCAAACCTCCTAGAATAAATCTGAAAACATTGGTCCAAAGGCTTTGGGCAAAATAAACCACTGAATGTCTTGGATCTTGACTTTTTTGGCCAACATTGGAGTTCAAAAAAAGTCTTGCTGAATTCCAAATTGATGGACAGAAACTGGGACTTAGTGGAGAAATGGGGAGGATGAGAAAGGAATGATGGTCAGCAGATTAATTCACCTTTATAAGCCTCTGGGCTGTTAATTGTTCATACCTTTCCTAAATAAAGGAATCAATGTCAGGGTTTATATTAGTCTGATTATAATTGTGTTCTCATTTGCTTTCCAGTTTCCCTTCTCCTCCTAAACAATTGGGTAAGTAATAAAAACTAATCGTATATTTTATAGCTAGTTTCTTGCAGGTGGGGTAGTGGGAAAGCCTTGGATATAGTCATGATAGCTGGATGAAAGCCCTGACTGTAAATAATAAATCGTGTAACCTTGGGCAAGTAACTGCACCTTGGGTGGCCACGGTTTCTCAACAGTAAAATAGCAGGAAGAGGAAAATAAAAAGGATCGATGGTTTTTAAACAGTTCTTCTAGGAGTCTTAGGGGTCACTACGGAGAAAAAGACAAGCAGGCAGTGTGGACACCAGCATCCTCCGTGTCCTCCTACCCTCATTCAGTCAGAGCTTGATATGTTGAACTTCCACACAAAGATTCCTAAAAACATACTATATTATGTGCCACCGAGGCTCTTCTAAATCTAAATTTCTTTGATTTGTTTTAAATGTTTAATTTATATTGTATTGGGAAAATTTCCCACTGCTAAATGAAATAGTTTCTTTTTTGGGAAGTTTGATCAGCTTATTTTTTTACCCCTGCTGAGACAGATCTGTAAAAGATTTTTCTTATATTTACTTTGAACAAAATAAAATGTTGTCTCACAAGAATATTCGGGGGCTTTCAAAAAGTTTATTTTAGTTATCGATACATTAGAAGAGACAACCAAACACAAAGATAATCTATTCTTCCAGACTGTTTATCTGACTTTGTTTTTCGTCATCAATTTGAAAATACATAAGGCACTAACTCAAACTGATCAATAACTCATGTGCTTACATATTAATCCATAATTTTAAAAAGTATTCAAAAAACAGAGCTCCACAGAGAGTAGGTATAAAATGAAACAAATGTGATCAATTAGGTAAAAAAATGTTTTTTGTTTTAATTTTCCTTTGTTCTCAAGTGTGTTTTAAGGGCATGCACGTGAAATAGTAATTTTTCCCCTTCTGGAAACGAATTATATGTTATATTTTTATGGATTTATTATGGATTCCTCAAATAGCTGAGCAACTTTTATCCTGTGCAATTAATTAACCTGAAAGGGGGGAGAATACACACACACACACATATGTATATATTTATACATATACACAGTATTTGTATATACTGTATACCTATATATAGAGAGGGGGGGGGAATTTTTAAAGGAAATCAAATCCTTGCCATTACCAGAGAGCATTTAAACTTTCTATGATAGTCATTCCTTAAAACATTTATACTCGCTACAAGTCATCTTTTCAGCTTACTTTACTGTGGATCGACTTAATAGGTACAGAAAAGAAGCATTCTTTCTGAGTTTATTAACAAGAAGTCTAGAGGAAAAAAAATATCTACAGATTGGAAAAACCATTGAACCAGTTAAGGTCGTGGCAACTTTCTACCCAGACTGATTCTCAATACCTGCTGTTATCAGAAGTGTCTCATTAATAGAAATATTCTTTTTATTTTAAGGTGGTGCCATTCCTAATATTACTATAAAGTAAAAGTTAGGTAGATAGATAAATAGATAGGTAATAGAGAAGACATAATCATAGACATAAACATATAAATAAAATGATATATATTATCAGAGCACTCCAAATCCCATAAGAACCTTAATTTCAATCTCCAGTGCCTACTATCAATGGCCAACACCAATGGAAAAAACCCTGATAATAACAGTTACAGTCATAGTCACTGGTTTTTTGGAGGGAAATTTAACACATGTATCCAGGGAGATAAGAACCTCTCCCCTTTAAGGACTGATAATGCTTCCAAGAGAAATGTACCCAGGCACCAGGAAAACTTCTTTTGTTGTCCTTTAGCAATCTTTTATTGAAAACATCATTGAACACTCACATCAAAATTTAAACTGACGGTGTTTCCGCATTTGATATTTTGTCTTTTGTTAGACATGGGAGATGAAGTCTATGATGACGTGGATGCCTCCGATTTCCCTGCTCCACCAGCAGAGTTGAGGTAATTAAAACGTTTTCATTACAATGAAGTAATGAAAATGAGGTTGTTCAAGAAAATTTAACTGGAATAAAACTCCGATGGGGTGTGTGTCTACTGAGGGCGATTGTGTTCCTGTCATCCTCTCCCTGGTCCCAGCTCTTATGTCTCTGCTAGGTTAGTGAGGGGGTAGCTCTGATCCTGCTCCCCACCCTCCTCTCTCTTCCTTCCCTTCCTCCTCTCCCAGCAGTTCTGCTTCTTGTCCCGACTATCCTCTGGCCTGACGTCTGCGTTCATTTCTTCACTCACTGGGAAAGCATTTGACAGCCTGATCACAACTGATCTCACTGAGTCATCTCCTCCCTTTATTTTTACTCTTTTCCCAAAACCTTTTTTGTCTTGAATACACTTCTTAGTTTATATCTCAACCCTCACCCACCTCGTTCAAGCCTCCTGTGTCCTCCACAAGATTGTTTCCTTTTGTGAAAAAAAGATTTGCGTTTTAAAAGGACTTTTGGTTACGTCTCTTTTTTCACAAAAGCATCAGAGATTCTCAAAGATTCCATTCACATTTCAAAAAAAAGGTCAACAGTGAATATGGACATTCTTCAACTCACGTAAGGTTTCAATTTAATTTTAGGCAAAAATTGTATGAAAATCTCTTAAGCTCAGCTCATAAAAAAGCAATACCTTTAGAAAATTCTTAGGGAAACTCTTAGGATGCCTTTGTATACTGCAATAAAAATGTGAGATGATCTGATACATACTGTGTATGAAAGCAAGGCCACCTCTGTGGCTTTTTCAAGAAAAAAGAAAGGTGAATAAAAAGATCTTGGACTTGATTAGTTAAAGGATGAAAGTAACATAAACGGAATACAATAAATGCTGTCTTCTGAGCTGTACTGGTAAAAAGGCATGCGTGAACCCTAAGTATTTACTTTTTTACCAAGATTGTTAGACTAATTTTACCAGATCAAAGAAACTGAAGGAAAAATAGCTGTCATTTATATATGAAGATCAAGTTCTACAGGCAAAATAAACAAGAAAAATGAAAGGAGAATCATTTTCCTTTTCTAGTTCTCCAGGAAAGGAAAATCTAATCTTCTCCAGTAATATGTTGTTTTAATATTCCTCACCATCAGAAAGTTGCTTCTATCCATGACAGTTTTTAATGCAATTTTCTGTTTCATATTGCTGTAGACATGCCACCACGTTCCACAGACTAGCTCTCTAGGAACCCATAGTCACACATTGGCCCTTTTCTTCAAGCAAAATAAACCCCAGCTGATTAAACTTTATGTGATATGTAGTGGTTTTTTTCTTGTTGCTCATTTTCAGAGTTTGAGACAATTTTATGTTCTCTAACATAGTATTCCATTTTTAAACAAATTTTAATAAATTATTTTCAAAGAGAACTTGTGGGGTATTTTTAACATTCATGTATAGTCTTGTAGCTCCAGAGTGCTAATCTGGGACAGCAATTCTACTGCTGCCCAGAGTGCCGTGAGACAGGAGATGCTGAGGGAGGACGCAGAACCTAAAAGAGGATATTGTGCTAATGTATTTCACTGTGAGTGCATTCAACTCTAAGACTCAAAAATTAAGAGTCAAACATTTTAAATAAATCAGTTATAGACAAAACTTGATCTTAGGTAATCTAAAGAAAAATTAATATCAGTGGTTAAAATTTCCATTATTCACAAATGCTCTGATGTCTTAAATTCCCTTCTGCAGAGATTCACATCCTTTCCCTAACATCCATACTTAACCTTATTGAATGGTTCTCAACCTTGGTTGCAAATTAGTACCCCCTGGGGAGCTTTTAAAATATGTATGTCAGTACCTGGATCCAACTCAGTCTAACTAATTAGAATTTAAAATTAATTTAATTTAATTAGAATTTCTAGGAATTTGGCAAGGACAGTGGCATTTTTTTAAAGCTTTCCAGGTGATCCTATATGCAGCCAAGCTGGAGAATCACTATCTTAGGCTTATTCACCTTTCTTATGATAATTGACTTTAGTCCAGTTGGTTTGTAGATACCAACTATATATATACACATATATACACATATATACATACATATTTCTAGACCCTAGAGTTTTTTAAAAACTGTTAAATCCATAACTGATCAAAGCATTTAGAATATGTTTGCCCACTCTCTCTTTCTCTCACACACACACACGAAAGGGACAACTGACAAAATGATTAAGAAGCTCCTTTTTATAATATCTAAAATCTTAACTCTTATGTAAGATTTTTTATTAATCAACATTTCCTTCCTCCTACCTTGGCTCCATTTTAAGTAGATATGAAAAAACTAACATATACATAAACTTGATAAACCATTGGCATTGGCCAAGCCATTGAATTATCTAAGAAGGACTGAAACATATAGAGGTTCCAGAAGAGGTTGAATCGTATGAAACCACTGAGATGTAACTATGCTTGAGGTATAACCAAGTGATTTTCTGTGATTCAACAAAATAGATGATTTCTTACCTCCATTTTAATTCATAATCTGTAGTCTCTTGACGGATCCTTTCTGCATTATGAAATGTCATTTCTTACAGTGAATGTAGTGGATTTCTAAGGAAAAAATTAATTGAAAACAAAATTTAACAAAAATTTAATGTTATGACTTAAGTCTTTATTATATACTATTCTTCTTATCTTTTTGAAACGAAATGTGATTTTATGTGTTCTGTCATCCTAGCCAAGGAGTCAAAGCCAAGACAGAAGAAAAAGACCCTAAGAAGCTAAAAAAGCAGGAAAAAGAAGAAAAAGACTTCAGGAAAAAATTTAAAGTACATCTTATTTAAATATCATACAAAGTTCAAGTCACTAGTGAGAAACAAGATGATTTTTTAAGTACCAAAATGAACATTTTAAAAGTGTAATTATCAACATCACAGTTGTCCATCGTAATTCCTTTATTTTCTGCAAAATTTACTTTAGATTTAAATTTATTTCTATAATAAATTAACCAGACCGTCATACATGCACAATATATATACCAAGATAGTCATCAAAATTTAGCTGTCCTTTGAACCTTGGTAAGATGGTAATCCAAAAATAGTTAGGATGGACAAAAAAAGATGTGGCATATATATAATGAAATGCTGTTCAGCCATGAGAAAAAAGGAGATCCTGCCATTTGTGACCACAAAAAAGAAATGGTAATTATGTGAGGTGACAGAGGTGGCAGCTAAAGCTAAGGTGGTAATCATTTTGCAATTTATAAGTGTATCAAATCAACACGTGCCCACCTTAAACTTTAAAAAATTCTTTTTACTTTTTAAAAATAATTACTATGTTAGATTCTTGAGGTTATAAGTGACTTTACCACCAAAAATTTTCTTCAATGCTCTTACATTATCTTTTGAAAATAAGAAACTATTTATTTGTCAAAGACTTTCTTAATAAACCTGTCATCAATGAATACTTTTATGATACCCATCAACTGATAATATAAAAGTATTTCTTTATTTTTCCAGTATGATGGTGAAATTCGAGTCCTATATTCAACCAAAGTTGCAGCTTCCTTGTCTTCTAAAAAGTGGGGGACCAGAGAGCTACAGGTCAAGCCTGGTGAAGCTCTTGAGGTTATACAAAACACAGACGATACAAAAGTTCTCTGCAGGAACGAAGAAGGAAAATGTAAGTCGCTGCTTACTCTTCATAGATACGGCACTCCAGAATTTAACAACCAGACAAGTTTTAGTAATCACCCCTGTTTTTCTTAACTCTTTTTGCCCTATGTTTTGTGAATTGTGGAAAACATTAAGAAACTGAAGATCTTACTGTGCTGAGATCAATGTATTTTATTTTAATCTTTTTTCATTTCCCGCTTGCTATATTTGGCACTATGGTGCCAAGGTAATGCCAGATTAGTGGTTCTCAAAATGCAGTCCCACAGACCACCAGCATCAGAGAACCCTTGTATGTGTATTGAAATTGCAGTTGCCTGGACTCATCCTTGACTGGCTGAGTCATGAGTCATGAACTCTGAGGGTCAGATGGAATCTGTGATCATAACTTCTTCGCTAGCTTGTTCTTGTGTACCCTAAAGTGAGAACCACTGTGCTAAAGTGGTGAGTGGCTCTTGCTCTGGCCTAGTTTTGGAATCATATAGCATATGTCACACCTAGAATTTCCAGTTTCCCTACCTTGCAAATTCACTTGTTTTCGTTTCCTTTTTGGAAACGCTAATACAACATACTATTCCAAATAAATACAAGAGAGTCCTGTCCTCTTTGACTTTATCAGCTATTAAAGCTGACAGATGGAAATGTTTTTGTCAAGTTTTAAAAGGAAGCTTATTTCATTTATAGTCCAGGGCAGAGTAGTTCAAAATTATGTTGTCCTATATTTAAAATTGGATAGCCAGCATGGCTGCTCCCATCTCAGCTCGGTTGGTCTGTATGGAAAACATGAACTCTGAGTTGAATTTTAATGACAGGAAGGTGACTCAGGGACAGGAACTGAAATGGAGTTTTAAGAATAAAACACAGTGACTCAAGGGTGGGGAAAATGGATCTAAAGTTACAATGGAGGAGGTGTGGCTGGTTTTTAAAGGGAGAAAATGGAATGTGGTACAAAGGATAAAAGACAGGAGTAGTGTAGCATTAAGACTCGATGCTCACTGGAGATAATGTGGAGATGGTCCTTCAGGACACAAAGAAAACCCCCATTCAGACTACCATTTGTGAGGATGTATCCCAAGGAATAGCCTTAAATGCAGAAAAACTATATGCATTGAAAGGTCATCATAAATCTAGAAAATGTTCAAAAAATGTAAAAATGATTAAATAAGTTATGATGAATATACCAAATTGAATATTTCACGTGATGATTATGACAATAATGCGAGGAAATTCTCATGACACAGTAGTAAGAGAAAATAAGAAGCCTGCTTAATGTAGGGTGGTACTTACAGTCATGCTAAAAAGTTACGTAAATAAAAGAAACTAAACTAAAATATTATTAGTGGCTGATTAGGGTGGTAGGTCTAAATGATATCTTTTCTTTCTCTACTTTCCAAATTACTTCACATTTTTCGCAACAGAGAATTGTCCTAGTACTTGTCATGTGGACCTTTCTCTAGTGCACAAGTTTCAGACACATCTTGCCACACTGTCCTGAGACTCCTGTCTTTAGCAACAAATCCCATCTAGAGCGATGTTCCTCAACTTCAAAGTACATACACATCACATCATGATCTCGTTAAAACCTCAGATTCTAATTCAGTAGGTCTGAGGTGAGGTGTGACTTTCTGCATTTTACCAAGCTCCCAGGTCATTGATGCTGCTGGTCTGTGGAACACACTCTGAGTAACAGGATGTAAATGACCTCATCAACAAACATGTATAGATATAGATGAGCAGGAATAGATACAATACCAGAAACAGATATTCAGACAAGAGTCATATCTTCCTAAGAACCAGTGGACCTTAAGAATGAGGAAAAGCAGCAGTCATTCAGGGATAATTTTGTAATCTGCTATCATTTCCTTTTTGGATATCAATAATTCTAAATACCGTTATGAATACTGGAGGGCTCTTGTCCTCTTAGAATTTATCATCTGTTAAAAATGGGAGATGGAAAACACTACATTAAATCCTGGTAGATAACAATAAGGCTTCCATGTAACTTTTATCATTTTTTTGCCTGCTGCACTACCAAGGTACTTTATGATTCCCAAGCTCACGGGTAACTAATCCAATTCTTAGTTGGTTTGGGGGTCCATCTTGAATGGGATGGAGACCAGATGATGATATTGGTAGCACTTGTGTACACGATGTTTTTTATTTAAACACTTTCTTTGGGATGGACTTTGTCTTAGTTTGGCTTCCCCATTTGGGAGGTGATTCTGGAAAACATCCATAGGCAAGTGTTGAAGTAGACAGGGAAGGGAAGGCAGCCAAAAAAGTCTTGTTATCAAAAAAGTTACCACTTGGATAATGGAGTTTAATCCAGTTGGAAACTCGGAGTGGCAGTGTTGTCCCATCCAAGTTGTAAACAACTTAGGGTATTTATACATCAACTGCTGTCCATCAGGAATTGAAGCCTACACCTGGGCAGGTGGTGAGTCATTCAGGATACTGAGTAAGTTGACAAAGAGAGTTCTGGAAACCAGAGAAAAAGCTATTAGCAAAAAAATGTGAAAAATACAAGTGCTCTCAGTTGGAAGTTGAACCAAAAGGCACTGAAGTAGTAGAGTAAATGTGTCTGCGGGGGCCACCAAGAGCATCCGCTATTGCCTTTCAAGTTAAGCATTATTCCAAGATTTAATTATCATAGCTGCTTAGTTTCACTTTTATTTTTCCAAACCTCCTGCTCTTCTTAATTTTTATAAACCTCCTGCTTATTCCTTCCTTGAACTTTATCCTTGGCATTCTTAGTTTTCTTAATTTCTGATCCATTCATCACATACCTCTATAGAATTTGAGATGATTATTTTATAGATTTAACTCTCCCCACCTAGATTGTTACAATAGCCTTTCAAATGCTATGTCTACCCTACCCTTACTCTCAGCCAATCCAGTCACCACACTGTTACTCAAATATTACTTTTGAAAACACAAAGTCTTGGGGCTGGCCCTGTGGCCGAGCGGTTAAGTTCGCGTGCTCCGCTGCAGGCGGCCCAGTGTTTCGTTGGTTCGAATCCTGGGCGCGGACATGGCACTGCTCATCAGACCACGCTGAGGCAGCGTCCCACATGCCACAACTAGAAGAACCCACAACGAAGAATACACAACTATGTACCGGGGGGCTTTGGGGAGAAAAAGGAAAAAATAAAAATTTAAAAACACAAAGTCTTTAGGCTAATACGTAAAACTCTTTGATCTAGCCTCACCCTTATCAACTATTTCCCATCTGCAAATGACACTCCAGAAATACAAACTACTTGTCATTCCTTGAATAAATTATACTATTTCATCCTTCTATGCTATTTTATTCTACTTGGAGCACCCATAATTGTCCATTAAAAACAATCCAGTTGTCATCTAAAATTGGAAGCACACTCATCTCCACTCCCCAGCACCCCATCACAATGAATCTCTCCCCTGCTCCACCGTCCTCCCACTTCTGTTGCTGTAATTGTCCATAATTGTTTTATCTACTTAACTATTATCCTTATTAGACGCCCAGCTTGAGAGTAACTTCAGTGAAGTGTTCTCAACGTTGTATTGCCAATACCTTCTACAGTGCCCACCACCTTGTTTGGGGCTTACTGAATTGAATGTAACAATTTGGAGATTGCGGTTGGATAAGCAGATGAAGGGCTGACATTTCGACACTCACAGGAAGAAGTCTGTTGATTAGTTTAACTGGTTAGAAGACAGAAGTTCCCCCCTTGGCCTCAGTAATGTGTTTCGCTTGTTGGGGTATCATTTAGGAGCCTCTAAATCTTTCAGTTCCTTATTTCTACGTCTTCTGATGAGCAGCAAAGGCATTTGCAATCCAACACCTCAGTGACCCTAACATTTTCCTTACTCTCCATTCTTCTTTAATCCATCAAAGTAAAGGAAATAGCTTGCTTAAACTACGGTTGGTAATGATAGAAATTAGAGGCTAAAACATTAAAAATTATGCCTTCCTATTGTGGAGAAGAGTACCAGCCACTTTTACCGGCATTATCACGTTCGATCAAGTCTCACCCGCTGACTCATGGAAGCACATATTGCATCGGCGTTGAGATCTTAAATATGTATTTCTGGCATGTTCCCAAATGTTTAGAATTTCTTGCTAATATTTGCGAATATTCCACAACTCGATGTCTCATAGCTGTGAGTTTTCCCACCTCCTGTCACTGGAGGAAAATTTTCTACAAAAAGTGTGGAATGAGACATGAACTGACTTATTCTCCAATTGCTCATTTCTTTGCTAAAGCAATTTTGTTTTCAATTTTAAAACAACACATGCTCATTGAAGAAAATTTTTTAATTCAGATATTTAAAAAAATCACTCGATTTGAAGCCCTAGAAATAAGGAGAGAGAGAGAGAAGAGTGGGAGAGAGAACATTTTTCTAAAACTAGGATAATAATTTATATTCAGCATTAGACATTGCATTTTGTTTTATCTTTCTGTTATATTATGAGCATTTTCCCTTGAAGGTGGACGCTGTTCCACTTGCCTGAATAAATCTGTGCCATATGATTTCAATTGTTTTTAAACTGCATGAGGACAAATTGAGTAAGTTTAGCTTTATCTCTGGACTGGCTCACAACAAACGCAGTAATAAGGAAATACTAAAAGTTGTCATTTGAGAATTTGAAAATATTAGAACAAAGATATTTTCCATTTTTCCAAAGATACTTTCGTATTTCCTTGTTAATTTTATATTTACAACACCCTTCTGAAAGATGAGTCATTTGTCCTGGGACACACCTGCACTGGAGCAAGCAAACGTTTTGAGAAGAAATTTAATTGGCACATATGAGGGGTGGGTGTTATTTTCTTAACTAGCTTTACCCTACCACATATTTCAAAACATTTGTTTCAAGCCACTGTGTTCTGCTCTATGAATGTGAGGTTTCTAAATAATAATTTCATCTTATGCATGAGGATCTCTGGTGTGCCAGCACCCATAATATTATAGGATGAATTAAACATGGCAGCCATTCTACATGGTACAGAACCATGATGAGTTTTTTCATTTATTTTGTTTGTTTGTATTCTCCCTTAATATTCCCTATGATGAATGTACATGGAACACGTGAGCAAAGAGAGCATTTTTCTTACTGCAAAAAGGTTTATTTCTAGGAACTATAATGGAAAGACTATATAAAAATTCATGGTAAGTCACTTGTTTTGACATTGTCGTGAATCATGGTCTTAAAGAATGAAGTTTTAGCAGAGATTTTTAAAGGTACTAGACAGCAAAACTTATGCTGTATTAGAAGTCATTAACCATGTAAAAATGCTATCTAAGTGTGATTTTATAGCTAATGAGCCCCAAATTATCACATCATTTCAGGGAACTAAAATAGAGCAGCACAGTACCAGCCTACACTCCATCTCCTTGATGCATTTTTCTTAAATAACATTCACAACCATTGGTGTTTATGTATCTCACACACACAACAACAACAGCAACAATGGAGCATTCAACAAAAGAGAGCATTCAAAAGAGCAACAAAAGACCTTCAAACAAGCTGTTCCTTAAGATTCTTGAGCAGGCAAGATATAGGCGGAAATGTAACAGGGGTTTGAGAATCTAAAAGAAGACAATTTTTATAATTAATATTGTGAAGTTAGGTAATTAGGCTATATATCGTGACTTGTTAACCTTGGTCATATAAAGGACTGTTTTAGTGCTTGACTACAGATAGTGTTTTACCCAGGTCTGCACAATTTTAGCCTAATTGAGTTTTAAAAAGTAGATTACCTAAAAGCATAGGAAAATGAAAACCTTTAATTTCCAAAAATGGTGAATATGTTCTCTTTGTTTTGGACTTTATTTCTTTTAATCTTCTAAAGATTTTAATATATATATATATATATATTTGGTGATAGAAAAATAGAAAAATTCCAGTCTCTGGCAATATTTTCTAATTTATTATACACTTCTCTAATTTTCTACCTTCTAATTTTTGTTAGGAGACTCCACAAAGCCCAAACACCTCACAGTGAGATTGATTTCACTGTGAAAGGCTACAGTTCATAAACGTCGTTATTTTTAAATTATTAACATAAAGATGAATGTATCATGGAAACACTATTGTGTTGTTTTATTGTTCAATTCTTTTTAAGAGAAAATTCAAAATGAAAACAGAACCACCAATTTTAACTAGGGAAAATACAGTTTGTGATTATTACTGTCTGTAAAGAACTGTTCACATTTTGTTTTAGCTAAGTCCAGGTAAGGACAGATTGCAATTATTGGAACCTGGATACAAAATCCACAATGTATTCAAAAACCTTGTTATCTGCATGGATTTTGTCTCTTGAGAGTCACATAGAATTAAATTTGCTAGAGATGAGCTTATCCCCTTCAAAAAATTGTATTAAATTATGATATATGCCTTGATTTTTTAATGTCTGTTACCATAAAATGAATGAAAGAATTGTGATATCAGAGGTTACCCAAGGATCATAGATATTAATTCTAGATTTCTTCACAGTGATAATTTTTGCTACTTTTGCTTTAATTGAAATAAAAAAGAAGACATAACAAGTTCTAATTTCTCATAGTCTGAGTAAAATGTTACTTTGTTGCACACCTGTCATTTCGACACGTGCTTCATTACTTCCCCACCACACGAATTCAAGGATAGCTTTCTTTCCTTTCCAAATACAATGCTTATGAACAGTTTTCATTAAAAAGTTGTGAACTTCTTGATAAATTATTTTGGTGGAGTTTTTTTACCCTGGAATATTGCAAGGGAAAGTTCATTTTCTTACGTTTTAATCTACAATTTCAGTTACATGATCCTAATGTAAAAAAAATTTTTTTTCATGTTAAATCAACAGCAATATGACTTAAATATGTTTATTATCATTTGTATTAATCTTTGCTTATGAGCTTCCTGGTTTATAATTTTTTACGCAGTTACTCTGATTTAGAACCAAAACTAGATCTAAAGTGGACCAAGACCAATAGATTGACTAATGAGAGAAATGATTGAGAGGCTGTATTGACAAGACAGTAAATGGTGCTAATCTCAAGCACACAACAGAATTTAGGTGCTAACACAAAACGAATAATTCCAAAGGTTAGTAATATTAATTTGATGTCAGCAGACATTTTCTCAAGAAAAATAGTCCATATTTTTTCTTTGGAATACTTTGCACAATTAGGGGAAACAGTAGGGGCTCAAAAAAAATTTTAGTTTTCTTGCATAAAATATGGTCTATTTTCTACTTCACCAAGAATCACTATAATTCCTGGTATGTGTTCTAATAATGCTTTTGTTCCCTGAAAGATGAAGGCAAATGTTGATACTCTGTCAAATGGCAAAAGCAGTAGAGGAAGACCTGCACACTGAACATGCGAGTTACTTTGAGACCATTTAGGATGCGTGCTCGCAAGGAGCCCCTAGATGATTGGCATCTGAAAGCAGTTCTGACTCTGCTCAATACAATAAAATTTGAAAAGTCAAGCCTTAGATCTGGTGCTAATTAAAATACCTACTTATGAACTACTTTTGCTATTGGAGAAAGTATGCTTATTCAATTCTTTCTAAAACTGGGTCGCATGAGGAACACCTTGAAGAAATAGATTAAAATTTGAAAGAAATTTGTGCTACAACCTGTAGTAGCTTAAAGAAGAAATTTTTTTTTATTTAAGCAGGAAAAGAGGAATGAAGGAAAAAAGATGTTAGGGAGAGAGAGAAAGGAGAAGAAAGAGAGGAGGAAGAGTAGACACAAGTGAGAAAAATGGATCATGTTTGGAGAGAGATAAAATTATTAAATATTATATCATATCATAACATTATATCAATTTTATTTCATGTTCTTTAAATAGTAAAGATTTTTCAAGTCTGCTCTATTAATAAAAATGTTTTCCTTTTTCTTTCACAGATGGTTATGTCCTTCGGAGTCACTTGATAGACAAGTAAGCCCATTTTCTTCTACTACATTTGTAAAAGGATCTTTATGCTGTTTTTTAAGAAATATTCCTAATGTCAGTTAAATAATATAATCTACTGAATTATCTTAAATCAATTTTAAAACAGTATGTTATACAAATATCAATATAGTAGTGTCCGTAATAAAATTAAGGTTTTCGTAAAGTGTTACTCTTTTAAAAAGGCAAGAAGTCCTTTTCATTCATGATTCTATAGTTCACGGCTTTATATATTCATTGGAGACAGATATTGCAAACAGAGACAGATAAGTCAAAGTCACTAACGCTTTCATTACTACTTTGCATGTCACTTGCTGATTAATGCAGTCAGTTGAGTTGAATTAATCAGGGACCAATTAGTGTCTACACAGTCGGTGCTAATATCACCTGTTAACAGTTTACAGTCCAACCCCTAATTGAGGAATTTTCTTTACTCACACCAGGCATAGTAGAGAATTAAGTTGCCTTTTTTGGAAGCATGCCAGAAAACAGATAGTAGTCAATGATTCTTCTCTTCTTATGAATAAGATGTTGTCACAGTGTGGTACCATTGTGCTGTAGAATTCTCCGAAACACTATAAGATTCTGTTCCAAAGAAACTGTGTAAGAATGAGCTCCATTTCAGGCTAGGTCATATACCAATACAAAGAGTCACAGAATTTGGCATAAGAAAAACATCAAGAAGGATTCACAAACTGGATCCATGAACAACCAGACACCAATCAGGAAGAGACAAATCAATGTTAAGCGCTCTGTCAGCAAACTAGTAGAGTCAAAAGAAAAATAACCATAATTTACTTTCCTCAGAGCATTAGTCATGCTGATAGACATGGAACTTTTCAATAGGTTTTATTCTATGAAAGATACAAATTTTAAGGAAAGAATATGAGGCAAATAATAGGACAACATCTTCACCAGTGATACTACAGGATGATTAAGAGAGAATTTAGAAAGCGTCCTAAGTAATTGTTGGTTCA